ATAGACCAGAAGGACTCAGAATAGAAGATTGAAAAAATACAACTAGAAGGAATTGTGCCTGTGTGTGTGTGTGTGTGTGTGTGTGTGTGTGTTTGCTTGCTTTCCTTGTCAATGTCTTTTTCCTTAAAGTCCATGAAGTTAGCTGGAACCAACTTAGAGCACAATCATTCCTATATTAATGGACATAGCATTGGGCAACTTTCTGCAGAAAAGTGTGCAGCAGAAATTAATGTTTATAGATTGCAACTAGAGCTACTTTGAGGGACTCATGCATAAAGAAGGAACTTAACATTCTGAAGAAAAAGATTGCCACTCCTTAGTCACCAGGTGTAGGAAAACAGACTTTGCCTTCAATGTGTGGGGAGGCATCCTGGATAAATACAACTAATACAAAGCTACAAATGCCTTAGGGTATATGTGGAAATAATAAGCACAAATCTTTCATATGAAGAAATAAGCCATGAGATGAAATAGCAGGTGATATTTTTAGGAATGCTAGTTATGTGTTACGCTCTAAATCATCACTCTGTTTACTAAATATTTACTTAGGAGCTTCAATTTTTAATTCTAGTCTGATAGTTCTTTTCTCCTGTCTTCCTAGTTGTTTGCTTTGTTGAAGAAATAGTACCATAAAAGGGCACTGGAGGTTTTTAAGGCATATTCTACACATGTGGGGAAATCTTTTATAGCAAAGCTAAAGAATTTAAAGCATTTCTATAAATTTCAGGAGCAAGCTATAGTTATATGTAAAAAAGAAATCGTAATTATTCTGGGATTAAAAGAAATCAGGCTAGACAGAGACAAATTCACAGGACCAGTGAACATGGAAAGCAACTTTATGTGAGTTAGCTAGGAAAGACTCAAGATGAGTTCCTTGTCGGGAACATGACGTAATTGATGAGTCGCAAGATCATGACAGCAGGTATCAAAATGGGCCAACATAATTTGCACAGAGCAAGAAGAAAAATCCAGAAGAGGGTATAACAAAAATAGCAACCTTGCCAAGTTGTTTTTTAATATGAGAATTTTTCTGAATGTCTTCATAATTTTAGAAGTGATTACAATGATCATATACATTTAAATGTTTTGGGAGAAAATTGTGGGGTTTTTTCTATTAGCTTATATCTGATAGCAACACATACGAATTTATCATTGATAATGTGATAGACACTACATTGAGGGAATAGAAATTGGATACAAGTAATGCAAGCTCCCTGCCATTAAATAATTTACTTTCTCACAGAGGGAGAATTCTGAAGAAAATTTAAGGACCGACTTTGCAGTAAGGATGGAATGATCAGGGTTTGGGGCTGAGGGAGAGTGGAGGAAGAGAGCTTAATAAATGCTTTGTCTAGGAGAGATGAAGTGTTAACCTGAACACAGAAGAGCGAGGTGGTCAGGGTCTTGCCAAGAAAGAGGATTCCATATATTCAGTGTCTTGGTAAAGTTAATGACCTTCTATCAAATATGCAAAGGAGTTGCTTCTCGTTTTTAGGGTAAGAGCTGTGACAGTGAAAAAAGAAAAAGGAAAAATAAAGACCTTCCAGGCCTGTAATCTTTTTTCTCATATAAATAAATAAATAAATAAATAAATAAATAAATAAATAAATAGCTAGCTTTTCACAGATTGACTGTGAAAGATAAAGATAGGAGAAAGGTCATCCTGCTAATAAACAGAATAACTCGACAAGCTCTTCCTGTTGGGGTTCATTTGGTGTATTTTTATTTCACTTGCTTAATGTTTTAAAGATAAACAGCTCTAATTGGTGTCGGTTGGACAGCTTTGCCCATTGCTCATGTGTGGTTAATGTTGGTGGCATTGAGGGACAAGTAGCTAATGTACAGGAAAATATGATCATTTAGAAGTCTTTTCAAATGTTACACAGACTCTTTGAAAAGCCATTTAGAGAAGCGGTTCACTTTATTTCTTCCAAGACATGAGTTGGAATTGAAGCAAGGCTGCTGCTTGTCCCTGGAGATCGATTTTTCTAAACCTGTGGTTCAGATCAGTCAATGTGATTATCTCTCCTGTCAAACAATACCTGCCTGTTCCGAGTCATGCTGGGTAAGAAAGATGTTCTTGTGCTGCCAAAGGATTTCAAATAAATAATTATATTCTTACCATTTATGAAATATTTCCATACTTTAAAGGAAAATAATTGGATCAAGTCATCAAATTATAATTTCACTGAACAATTTTTAGATATAGCTAGATTGCTCTTTCCAAATGGTAGAAAGTTCCAAAAGAGGCATATTGCTTTAATAAACCATAGACTATCACTGGGGTTAAACATCACAAGAAAATATTTTAAATATAAACCCTTCCTGCCTGAACAACAATCTTGTATTTGCTCCTTCCTACTTGAAATCTGTGGAAATGAGACAAAGCAACAATGTTATTTTCCTATTCTTTATAGTTTGATGATTCCACAGCCAGGTACCGAAGGAAGAAGAGGTAAAATTAAGTTTGAAATCATTCTATTCATGGGAGTATTATCAACCAAATAAAAGATACATAAAATATCAGAATGACAAACATGTCCTATTCAAAATTCTGTATTTCTCTTAACACCAGAAAAGACTTCTGCTTGATCAGGAGACAAAAAAAAATCTCTTCCCAAATTAGGAAGAACTTTAGGAAGAATACAGAATATACCATTTTCATCTGAGAGTTTTTTTCATCCATTACATTTTTGTTAAGTTGAGTAACTTCCTAAGAAGATATAAATGCACCATGGAATTTTATTCTCTCTCTCTCTTTCTCTCTCTTTCTATATATGTGTGTGTGTGTGTGTGTGCTTGTGTGTGCTTCTCTGTGTGTCTCTGTGTACGTATGTACGTGTGTGTATAAATGTGTATATATAAGTATGTGTGTGTATGTGTGTCTGTGTGTGTGGTTCATACACATATGATTTTCTTATTAAAATCAATATTTTGAATAGTTTACTCTAAGTTTCACTTGATTTATTGTTGGATATAAAACAGCAATTGTCATTTCATGCTGTTCAACACCATGGGAGCATAAATTGGTTACTTTTCAGAAAAAGTAAGCACCACCATCTAAAATTTTGCTATTCTTCTAATTTGCTGAGTAAAGCAGTATAGGGAAATAACTCACTATTTAGGCCATACTGTCAGTCTTAATCTGAAATCAGTCTAAAAATGGGGATATTTGAAGTCATTTTTAGAAAGTATTAAAGACTTCTCTGTAAAATGAGCATATGTCTTTTTAACTGTTTTATTATTGCAGGGATTTAGCTTAACAATCACGAACATCAAGGTTTTCATCCTATGATGTTTTAATTTCTCAGAGTGTTTGGAGATTGATCATTTATAGTCATGAAAGAATTACATTTAGATTTATTTGAGGCAGAGTGTAACTATATCTGATTTCTTTAGATTTGGAAAAATAATTTCTATTTTTCATGCCACTAAATTCTCTCATCTGAAACTACATTTCACTTTCATTTTTGATGTTTGATGAGTGAGAAAAGCAAGGACCCAGAGTCAGGGGGCCTGAACTAATAATGCCCTGCTCATGGGTCAGAACCAGGCAAAGTGTTCATTTACCACTTCTGCAGTTTGGCTACCATATTGGTTAAATGAATGAAAGGTTATTTTCAAGATTTCATAAACTCAAAAAATCAATGTTATGATTACTAATATTGCTATTGTTATTATGTAAAAGCCCTTACCTGCCCTCAAATTTGAATATATATTATATAATAAATATGATCTTTTTAAGGGTTCAGAGAAAAGAATTTCTTAACTACATCTGTATCCATACCTACAGTTATACAATGATACTTGAGCTCCTAGATTGGAAATTAAGGTCTTCTATGGCTTCTAACAAACAATGATCGATTCAGAGAAAGACCTGTAGTTCAAGTTGGAGGGATGGGAATAAAACATGGGTATTGAAGTATCTCTAGCAGCAGGAGGAAGAGGCTTATTAATTGCCTACAATACAAATTCATTGCATTATATACTTTAGAGGTTTGGGATTTTATGGAGAATGACTTTAATGAAAATAACATAAAATATATTCTCTAGAAAAGAATTCTCAATTACCCTTAGGTAAAAGTTAAATTTAGGGAAAGAAATCAAATGGTTTATTTTCCAGATGAAATTATTAATCTTGTAGGCGGCACCTAATAGTGCCTGTATTCATTTGCTAAGGCTATAACAAAGTACTATAGACTAAGCAACAGAGGCTTTTTTCCCTTATAGTCCTGAAAGCTAAAAGTCAAAGATCAAAGTGTTGACAGGGTTGATTCCTTCTGCTGTGAGGGAGCATTTCCCATTGGCTTCTACCTGACCATGTTCTTACTGATTCTTTTTATGCTCTTCTTTCCGTGTATGCTTGTATCAAATTCCCTCTTCTTATTAGACAGTCAGTCAGATTGAACTAGAGTCTGCCTTAAAGTTCTTATTTTAATGGAACCATTTCTTTGAAGACTGTCTCCAAATATAGTCTGAGGAGCTGGGATTAGAACATCAATGTATGAAGGTTTAGGGTACACATTAATTACAGCTATTTTTAAACTGCGTATCTAATAATTCCAAAATCTGTGTCTTACGTGAATGTGACTCAGATGGCTGCTTTATCTCTTCAGACTATTTTCTTTCTTGCCTTTTTTGGGAGATCTTGTCATTTTTGATAGAAAAGTAGATTAAATAAAAGGGGGCTTAGATATATAGTCCTTTAATATGAAGATTTATGCCAATTTGACAAAGAATTTATGTGCACTGAGTGGTTTCTTTAGCTATAGTTATGAGAGGGTAAAAATTGTCCATTGTTTTTATTTTAACCTTTCTTCTTTGCCCTGGCTCTTCCCTAAGCATTTCTCAGAGTCTGTGACCACACATTTTACATCTATGATTCACTCTTCATTATTGTGGAGCCTTGTTGGTGAAGGAGGAGGAATGTTCTTTAACATTCCATTAAACCTCAGTCACTTGTGGGACTATGTTTCAGGATACAGTCTTCACCAGTTGTTCAATCTTTTCTGGAGTCACAATTGTTCTTCATGGTCCTAATTCCTGCTTCATGGTCCCTGGATGTGACATCCCCAATCCATTTCTCTGAATGCCTGAATTCACTGGAAATATGTCTCTCACTCCCTTAGGTAAGAAAGGAAGCCTACAAGGGTGGGGAGGATTCTCTTTCCTTTATCCAGGACCGGCTTTGAGAACTGCCTCTTGGTGTGACCCTTTTCATGGAAGGTAGGTCTTTGTCAAGAAGAAGGCTCCAAGTGTATTTCAAAGCAGTTCTCTCTTCTGTTAGGTCCACAAGTGTTTCTTAGGGACCCTCACCATAAGAAAATGGTAGGATCCTGGTGAGAAAACTAATGAAATTTGTCAGAGATCCCATAAAATTCTGTTTTGAGCCTTCCTACTCTCATGGCTGCCTTCTCTCAGTCTGAGTATTTCACATATTTAAATTTCATTCTGGTTTATATCTCTGCTGGATTTTACTTTAGGAAAATAGATCTTGTTATGTGTGTCTGGAAACACCTCCTTCTTCAGATTTGGGGTGGTAACACCCCATAACCTTGGTTCTCTCCTAGGGTCAATAAAATTATTGATTTTCAGTTTTTCTGTGTTTTATTGATTGTAGGAATGGAAGTAATGACTCCTAAGCTCTGTAGGTATCATAGATGAAGCGGACACTAGCTGTCTTTTGAAGGTTAGGAAACATATAAAAAGTTTGTATTCATCTGAATAAAAGATGGAACTTTTTATTACCAAATAATATAGAGTTGAAGAATAACTGAACTTTTAATAATATAAATCCCCATTCTCAATTACATTTCCTAATACTCAAAAACATATTTATTAGAAAATGATAATATTCAAAATATGTAGGCAGGCATTACTTTATTTTTTCAATCTGTGAAATGTAACATGTTATAAAGAAATTTCTTGTTACAATATCACACTTTCAAAAAAGAAAACGTATTACTACAAGCTCATGTATGTTAGTCCTATATAATATCATATATATTTTTTCTCTTAGAAGTTTTGTATTAAATGATGAATTCATGTAATTGAGCCTACATACAGAATGTAAATTTGTTTACTGCATTGTTAGATGAATTACCTTCCTAAAATTATTATTATAAACTAATATGGCAAAATAAAACTTTTAAAAAGTATATTTAAAATTCCCTACAAATGTATAACATAAACACAGTTATTTATATTTTGTTAGTTTTTGAAAACAATTTTCTTTCAGTTTTTACGTTAGATAAAAGGTTATAAAATATATCCCTTCTTCACATAATATTATAGCAGATGCTTATTCAACTATTACAATCTCTATAAATATAATTTAATATTTAAAATGCATGATTATTTACATCACTATTTTAGATTGTTAGAGTATTCTATTGTTTTACTACATTTTGTTCATATTTATTAATAGATTTTTAAGTTTTACCTTAAAATTTACTAAGTCAAAAGAGTATCATTGTTTTTCCAAAATAACTCGAACACCTTTTCATTTTCATAAGTCATATGCTATCAAAGGTAGAATGAATTGAGTGTTTCCTATGCACTAGGTAGTATTTTTTGTGTTTTTATATGTGCTACAGTTTGAATGTGGTGTGTCCCCAAAAGTTCATGTGCTGGAATCTTAGTTCTTGGTATGGCAATACTGAGAGTTGGTGAAACTTTTAAGACATGGGCCTAGTCGGAGGTAATTCACTAAATAATTAATGTAGTGATCACAGGACCCCACCTAGTTCCCACAAAGATAAGTTGTTACAAGATAGCCTGGCATTAAATCTCAATCCTCCTTTTGCCTGAGCCACAGGTTACACACATGTTCCTCGGTTGTGTCCATGTGGTGTAATTCTACAAGCATGAAAAATGCAAGAGCTATGATGTCATTATAGTGTCCACTGACATTCTGAAGAAAGACCTGGGAAGCTAGGCAGAAGTCCATTGTAGGAGTAGAGTTATTGCACAGGTTCTCCATTGGAATGTCTATTGAAAATAGAGGGGCAGGACATATGCTCTTGAGACCTCAGTAAGATAGAGTCACCAGCAGGGTGCAACACCCACTTGGAAAAGCCACAAACAATGTACAAGCAGGCCCAGGACAGAGCCTTCTGGGTTGCAACCAGTTTATCTGTGTAGGTTGGTGGCCTTCTGTAGTATGCACAAGATGAGAGATGTGGGCCTAATAGCAATAAAAAAGATAATTCCTCCTTTTACATGTTTTTATTTAAATTCACCTCTACTTGCCCTGTTGAGTGGGTAACATAAAACTTTAGTTCTGAGTTCTCATTTAGCTGGACTAAGTTTGACATTGACATAGGATGATGATGAGCAAGAACCATGGTGATCCTGCATCTGTCAATGGTTTTCCATAGAGCACATTCTATGCAAATGGTTCCCAAGGCTGGCCCTTGACTCAGCATTCGAAATGCAGTCTCTAGTTTTTTTTATGTATCCATTTTAAGTTACACTACTATCATTAATAATGTGTATCAGTATCTCCATTTACACAGGCCACATTCTGTTTCTTTTTAATTAGTTTCTCATAATAATGAAGTTTTTTTCCCCACAATATGTTTCATGTATTAATGTTGAAAATCATAGATAAAGAATATTCAAAACAGGGAATGGAATCTGACTTCTCATCAGAAACAAAGCAGTCCAGGAAACAATGAATGACCTCTAGAAGTGGTGAGGGAGATAGGGGGCAGTAGAAAGGAACACATAATCTCTTAAGACATTAATAGCCAGATAAAACACCTTTCAAGAAAGAAGAGAGATGAATTGTTCTCAGATAAACAGAAGTGAAACTATTTGTTGCCCACAGATTCCCACTACAACAAATACCATAATAACAGAAATTCTTCAGGCTGAAGAGAGAGAGAATACAAATAGAAACAAATCTAAAGAAAAAAATAAGAAATAAAAAAATGGTAATTATATAACTCAGTATTATAAACCATTGTTTCTTTTTTTATACTTTTAAAAATTACTGCTGAAATTAAAAACAACTCATTTTAAAGTTTATAACACAAGTAGAACAAAACTTGTCAAAATAGCCCAAAGGAAAGATGCAGTATAGTGCTGCAAGGTTATTATATGCTAAAAGAAAAGGATGGAAAATTATATAACATGAAAATCATAACCATCACTGGAATCTGAGGGAAAAGTTGTTATCCACGATAAAGTGCCATACATATATAAAGCATAATAATAAAATGGCCAATTCTTTATGCTTACTATCATCTTCCTAAATGTCTATAATAGAAGCAAAAATTGAGAGGAGGAATTTATAAAGCCTTAAATATAATTAAAAAGTTTTAACTTTCTCCTTCAAAATTGATAAAGTAGAACATTAGCAGGAAAGAGAATGCTATCACTAAACTTGACTTAATTAACATTTCTGGAACATTACTGTAACAAATGCAGAGTACACAGTTTTCAATTGCAAATAGATTGTTCTCTAAAAGAAGATAGGCTGATGCATACCACTGTGGGACTGCATAACTCTGTAATCATAAAACTCCCCTAGCCCCAACTGTGATTGAATGTGAGTAAATAGATAAAGATGCTTGTTAGTTCTGGGACACTAGATAAGATCTGTATCAGCCATAATGTCCCAAAGTAAATTACTCAACTCTTTGTTCCAAACTGACATTCCAGACACCGCTATCTATAGAACAATCTACAAACATCTGCTGATCATCAGTACATGTCAGCTGACCACTAACCTTTGTTCCTCTTCTGTAAATTTCACCTATTAATTTCCCCTGCAACCCTCTATAAAAAGAGCCTCAACTCTGGGCTAGTGGCCTCTCTAAGCTACTTTGCTTTGGGAGTGCCATCTGGTCAGACTAAGGTCTATTTTACTTTCCAACTTGTCCGGTGTGTTCCTTCCCAGGTGTTCTTCGCTGCAGTCAGCTCCTCAGAGTGTTTGGTAAGGCCCTCGGTCTTACACCACAAGAATTAATGAATTTTTAAATAGTGAAACCATACAAAGAATGTTCTCAGTTCACCTGGAATTAAATTATAAATCAATAAAAATAAGAAATAAATAAAACACCCACATTTTTAGAAACTAGATACACATTTCAGAACCAGTCTATGACTAAAAAGAGAAACCTGCCTGATCATAAACTCAACGAAAGTACAATTTGTCCGATGCAGCAGAAACTATGCTTTGAGAGAAATTTCATTCAATGCTTTTGTTATAGGAATAGAGAAATTTAAAGTCAATAACCTATGTTCTTGACTCTAAAAGCTAGAAAGAGAAAATTTAACACAAAGAGAAAAAATAGGAAAGAACAAAAATCAATAAAATACAAAGCATTCCTAAAAGGAAATCAATGAAGCCAAAAATTACTTCTTTGAAGACAATAATAAAATTGATGGACTCCTACCAAGTCAAGAGAGGACAAAAAGAGAGGAAATCCAAGTCAATGACATAGAGAAAATGGGAGCATCAGTGTAGATTCTATAGATGTTTCAAAGATAGTATGAGGCCTACTCTTAAGAGAGGGAAAATTGTTAAGGTTTACTCACACTCAGATAATAAGAACACACAAATAATCAGCAGAATAATAATGTCTGAGCCCATCAGAGATCTGAGGTCAAAAAGGCAACCAGATGAATTCAGTTTCCAAAAGGAGCTCCATCCAAACACAAACTGTTTCATCCTTAGCAGAACATCGGAGGAAGAGGTGGGCTTTGGCAAAATAGGCAAGAAATGAGCTACAATGTAATTCTTATAGAGCAAATGTGGTTTAAGCTGTCAGTTTGGAACCACTCCCCAAACACAAGGGAGTTACCACACTGACCTGCTTACTTACATGAGGACCTTAAGAAAGGTTGAGGAAAAATAGAAGAGTAAAGAGGTCACTTGGAGACTCAGTGAGGCTCCAGGCACTTTGAAACATCTGAAGGGGAGGCAGAAAGTCATGTCTGCTTCGTCAAACATTTTTCCTTTCTGATATAGCAAGTTTCCTGCCTCTACAAAGCCTGCAGTCTGCTGATACAAAGAAAAAATGTAGTACAAAAACTCTACCACTGGGAAGGGGAAATCTCTTAGGGCCAGGATTCTGTAGGATACCATACAAATGTCTACTACTTCTGGAAGAGAAGCAAG